TTCCTGAGCATCCTAGGGGACGCTCCATACATGAGAGGCTAGGGCCCCGCAATATTGGTTTCCACCATCATCCTACACTTTCTGGATTTCAGACTCCTCCCGATTTGCCATTGGGGGCGAGCTATGGTCACGCCCCTCCTAATGTTTTTCCCCCGGATCCAAATCCTCCTGCCACATTTATTCCCACTCCCGGTGTTGCTCCCGAGCCCCCCGTTCCACAATGCCTTCAGGCTTTTGCACATACTCTTCAAGCAGGTATTGCTACGAGTGTTCAAGCCGGAATCAGAGAATTCATGCAGGCCCATCTTGAGGCGCAAAGGCAGCCTCCCGCTCCCCCGGCCCCTGTGGCACCCCTTGGCCCAATTCGGCCTGAGGCGCATTATTTTGCCCCATTGGGACCTTATCCCCAGCAGTTTGCACCCCCTCCCCCGGTTCCCACAGCGCCCGGTTACATGCCAGCACCTGTACCAGCCCCGGCCATGGGGGGCGTTCCACCAGCCCCTTTCGCCCCGCCCCCTGCCTATCACCCGGTGGCTCCTCCCCCAGCTGGACCTCCCTTCCCTGGCGGCCCTGGCTTTGGCCCTGTCCCAGCACCCGGGGGCCCCATCCCACGTACCGGGTTCGACTTTACCCGCCTGCAGGCCACCGGCCCCTTGCAGGGGCCTCGCCCGAGTACGTATCCTCCACCTTTTGTCCCGGTGCAGCCCCCGAAACCATTGCTCATTGAAATTTTTTTGACTGTGAATGCTGTAAATGCGATCAAAAGCGCTCCCAATAAGCTGCTGTATGATAACCTCACAGGCTCCGTCACTTTTCAGCCGGATATGTCTGGCGTTTCTACCAAGAAAATTAAATGCCCCGATCTCCCTGCGTACTTGAAGTCTTCTGAACGCATCAAAACTGCCTTGCTTCAACTCGGCGCCATCCAGGCCCCGACTATGATAGGTATCAGGAGTCGTGTCTGACTATGCTTCTCGACTCCAAATGTGGGGGAAACGGCTGGCCGTTGGAGATCTTTTTCGAGTTTGATTTAGCCCACCGCCTCCAGCAATGGACCACTGGAGCCCCGTTTGACC